CGTCACTTCGGTGATACAACTGAAGAAGTTCCTGAGCCACTACTTCGGCACCAGCGTCGAGTCTGAGGATGCTTTTTCATCGTACCTCCTGTCTTCCTTCCTCGAAGACGGGGTAGGAATGTTCGAAATCATCATCACCGTCATTCGTGACAAGGAGCGTCGGTTGCTGCCTGGTTCCGCCCGCATAGCGGCGGTAAGGTCGCTTGAGATCGGATCCGACACTGATTACCGAGCATTTCGTGAACGATACCAATACATGCTCTACGAGAGCCCTGTTTGTCTTCCTATCACATCCAAGGTGGTTCCCAAGACACTCTACAAGGTGGTGCCTCTCCGGATGTATCGGCTCTACGTAGAACGTGGGGCGATCATTCGGGGTGGGCGAGCTCTGATCGAGCTCCTTCCCTCTAGGCCGGATGAATATCAATCCCTCCGCGATCACGGAGAATGCCCCAACGACACTGTCGACCGCATCACCGACAGCAATGTGACGGAGCTGCACACCTCGGGTCGACGCCAAAGGAGCGATCCCCGATATGTGGTCATGGCTATCGATGCACGTTTCTTCTCCATGGAAAATGGGGGCATGCGTATTACCCGTCAGGGTACCTTTGCATCGCGCGAGAACATCGCGATCGGGTACTGGAGATGCGTCTACTTCAAGGAGGACTGCTCCATCATTTACCTGAGGCCTTGGTGCTATCCGCCCAACTTCCTCAACTCCGTGAGTGATAACCCGAGGAAGTGTCGGGACGAGATGGAGAAGTATCACCAGATCACCAAGACGGAGCATGTCCGCGAGGTGGTGTCCGCTCCATGCCATAGGTGCATGACGGCCCACCCGATCGGCGCTCACCTGTGCACCGCCTGCTACCTTCCCATCTTCTATGAGGGCGTCCTGCCCACCGGAGACACGAACGGCGGCCCTCGCACGATAGCGAGCACCGACGGGGTGATTCCTCCCTGGCTGGTAAAATACGAGGGCGTCGTCCCCGCTCTGTGGAACAACGCAGACGCCAACGCCATCGGAATGGCCCTCTACTCGCAGAGTCCCGCCGTCGATGCCCGGTCCCTGTTGATGTCTGGGATGCGGCCTCCTAAGTACCTCGACAAAGAGGACGTGGATGGCATTTTCCGAAAACTTCACGACTCGCTCCGAGACGAAGTTCTTGACGGCAAGTACCGTGACACGGTCGACCACAACGTGGAAGAGTGGGTCGCAAAGGCGATCTTGGTAAGGGGTCTTGCCTTCAACGGGAGCTCCGTCCCCGACTTCTTCGAAGAATATGAGGGATATGCGGCTGAGTGGGGCAGACGCCTAACCACCGCAAACTTCAACGCCAACCGGTGCGGCTTTTACACGTCCTACTACATGGTTGAGGCCCATATCATTGGGCTGAGATCAGGGCACCTTTCTCCGATACTCCCCAACGATGTGTCCGGGGAGGGGTTCAAGGCCCAGGTGGGGCTGCTCGCACAGCACTGCGGGATAATGCAGGCCATGCGGAGAAAGGCCGGATTCGATCCCGCCGCGCGCCTCAAACAGGCTATGGACACGATACGGGAAGGCATTAAGAAGGGATACATCTACACGCTCAACGACCTCAGCAGTATGGATGATCTGATCTACCGGACGTCCACCGTTGCCTACGACACATGCTTGGCCGACCGTCCTCAAACCCAGGATGACATCAAACAGGAGCTGGCTGACCCTGTACCAAGGAAATACCGCTTCCGACCCCGCGATCGCCATCGACCCGGAATTCGCCTTACACCAGGCCCCGGCGTGAAAGACGAAGACGAGCCCAACTTTGCTGGATCAGCGGAGGATGAGCTGGGATCGGATGGGTCTTCGCACAAAGATGACGAGAAGCCTGACGACCTTGACGAGCCCATGGGCGACGACGAGGAGGAGATCCTGTGCCAACTCCTCCTCCTCCTCCTCCCGCTCCCATTGCTGCAGGCGTTACCACGGCTGGGGATCCGTTTGAGGAAGAGGACATGGCCGTCAATACTCGTGTCCCTGACACCGAGTCCGAGCTGGAGGGTGAGTCCGACCAACCCAAGGCCAGGAGGACATCTCGTGGTCGGGTCCCCGCGCCCGAGAAAGGGCAGGGGGGCGTTCAAGTCCCGCCTGGCGGGCAACCCAGCTCTAAGAGCATGGCCCAGCCTGCCCGTCCATCCCCGGTCCCCGCGAGAAGCGGTGCGGAAGGGGGGCAGAGAAGGGGCAGAACCAAGGGTTTCTACACCCAGAAGGATCCTTTTACCGGCGAGGACGCGACTCCCCGGGTTCGTCTTCGATCGGGCGGTCCCGGAACTCCTGCGTCCCCACCACGGGATGCCACCGGTTCCTTGGGCGGCCATGGCGGCTATGACCCGCGCGATGACGACAACGATGAGTGGGAGCTTCCCCCGGGCGTGCCTCGGACCACTCGTGCGGCCAATGAGTCACGGCCCCACCGAGATGACGATCGGTCAAGGACCGCGCTTGGGGCCCGCGAGGATCGTCGCGGCCCTAAGGGTGAGGGGAAGGGTTGAGGAAAACATCGACCTGGCAAAGGTGGACGCGAGGATCCTGGCCCGCCCCGACAAAGGGATGATCGTGGCAGGGATACCCGCGGAGGCCGACGCGATGATCGCCGACCTCCTCCACGTCATGAGGAGCCCTCCGAGAGGCGCGGTCCGGGGCGAGAGGAGCGCCGCGGACGTGATGACCCGGCTGATGACCGTCGCGATCGCCACCGGGACCGGCGCAGGGATGACCGACGTCACCAATCAGATCCCCCTCCGCCTCGCCGACCTCCGGCTGGCGACCACAGTAGGGGTGGTGGTGAGGATCGCCGTCGGGATGGAGGAGGTGATCGAGGTGACCGCGGTGGACGCCGGAGAGACGACGCGCCCAGAGACCGGGAAGAACCTGGTTCAGGGTGGTAGGCAGGTACCGCGATCAGCATCCGCCTTAGAAGGGCGAGGATGGCACGTGTGTCGCCGAAAAACGCGACCGCACCGGTCCTCCTCTCGCCCATGCGGCACTGCTGGGGGTGATGGTCTCCATTGCCCTGTACCGCTGATCCGGCGTTGTTCGTGTCCCTCCCGCACCGCTGCCGTGCGCGCCGGAGACGGTTCCCCTGGCGATCCTGTGTGAGGCTGTGACCGCACTAGAAGTGCCGGGCCGGCCATAGCCAGATATTTTCACACCAATTTCGGAACTTCCGTTTCTAATTTCCTCCCAACTCGACTACTCTTCCAACCGCTCCACGGCGTGCAGTGAGGCGCGGTGATCCAGATAGGATCCCCCTCCGCATGGCATCGTCCCATGACGACTCATGAACGGCACGAGAGGAATCTTCGTCTGGTTCCTCCAATATGTCTTTGTTCACTCATGTGGTCCACTCGTCAAATAATCCTGTCGCCCCGATAATTCGGGGTGGTGGCGGGATTTAAACTGGGGCCCAGGTGATGCCGTTTGGCTCACCTCTGAGTTGACACCGGCATTTTTGGTTGGTCCCTTTCGTCGTGAACTCAACTGTCTCGCATCCTTTCTCTCGTCCAGATATCGGATGAGGGGGGTGTGCTTTGTTCACGTGTTGTTTCTTCATGTGGCAAAACGGCCGAATGGCCGTTTGGCTCAAGTTTTCAACCCCCCGTCAGTTTAGCTCTGGCACCACGTGCGGACGCCATACAACGGCAGCCGCCCACATCACCGGGAAAAGGTCTCGGTGCTGGGGGCAGCTGGTTGTGGGAGGTATCCGGTGGTGCGGCAGGGTTTGCTGGGCTTGGTTGAGTACTTATACTTCTTCAACTTGATTCCCAACTTCCCCAAACTTCTCTTTACTAACCGTCACTTCCTCAACCCGGTCATCATCCACAGCTTCACCCGAGTTGTGATTCCGGGTGCTTTGGGTACATTGTGATCTTCTTTGTACTCATTTGCTTCCCTGGGCTACTTCGTGTTCGCCCAAAACCGCAATTATTATTATTATTATTACTATTATTATTATTATTATTTTTTGTTTGTAGTTGCTGGTTCTTTTGTGTGTCGGGTCGGTGTCGTTAGACTTGGTTTAGTATGGTTTAGTTTTCCTGTGTACTGGCTCAGTGCCGTATAGAATTGGCTTAGTATTGGCTAAGCATTCCTGCGTACTGGTCCAGAGATGTGTGTTTTCTCTTTTTCCTACCCTAGACCGAATATTACGCCTTTCTGGGGCTCTCTGTTGCCGTTTAATAAAGGGTGTCATAAAGAATTTGGCGGTTTGAGGCCTCAGTTAAGCCACAATCAAAACCCGGGTAGATGAAGGTTAGTAAGGGGCAGTCCCAGCCAGAAATAGTTGCGGCCGCCTTCTTAATTCTTTACATGGTTCTGGGTAGACCATTTTAATACCGGGTTTTGATTGTGACTCATTGGCGAGGCTATTATTGAGCAGTCAGCGTGGGATGAGTATTTGTTCATATATGTTAATTTATTGGTTTAGTACTGTTCTAGTACAGCCAGGGGGATCATGTTTGTTCACCGCCTCCGCACGGGCAGCCATGTCTTCTTCCCCGAACGACTTTCTCCATTCCCTAGCCTTTCCTGTTCTCAGAAAGGGAATTATTGTTGGAGAACTTGTTTGTTGTGCTTACAGGTTGATGGATTGCTATCCAGCAAGGGGGGTTCACCTATGCCTTACGTTTTCTTCAACTGTTGCAATGCTCCTCGACGTCAATTGAGCGCACCGGGCCTCTCTAAACTCTAAACCTTTGGCTGAGTTGTCGTACCTTCCATGTGCACCCTTTGCTTTGTCACCTTCTTGCCGCAAACAAGGATTGCCATCTAATACTTGCACTTGGGGAACGTCGCATCGCCACTTTCGATCTATTCCTCGGCTTTCCAGAGCTTGTCAAGTCTTTTATCAGTTTTTCCCATCCACCCCCCAAGCAGCCGTCAAATTCAGCGAGCGTTTCTCACTCAGCCGTGGCTCACGGCCTTGGCGGTTTGGGGTTTTCCGTGCTTCGGTGAGGTGAAGGAGGGGTTCACGGACTTCACAGTTTCGAGCGGAAGCTCTTCGCGTGATGGGCTGTGGCCACACATATATCCCATGCCCCACGCACCCTGCGCGGTATGTGGCCATGGGTCATAACCTATGCCTCCATATGCCTCCATTTTGGGGCAGATGAACACCCATGTACCACCTATTTTGATCTTCACCAGGGGTACAGG